TTGGTTGAGGCACTATGCTACAAGCCGGGAGGTCGCGGGTTCAAATCCCGATGAGGTCATTGGATCTTTTCCAATTGACCTAATCCTTCCAGCCGCACTATGGCCCTGGGGTCGACCCAGCCTCTAACAGAAATGTATACCAGGAATCAATTAAATAATTTTCCGGGAGAGTAAAGCACGGCCGGCGCGTAAGGCTGACAATCTTACCGCCATCTGTGAGCAGGTTGTCTAGAAAATGTGGGACCCTCGACGTCTCACAACCCTATAGGCCTTCACGGCTTGTTAAAGGGATAGCTTTACTTTTTTTACCTGCGTAACCTATTGTTTACGATAGAGTTTGATACTACCAATCTATAACTAGCTCTCTCAAATTATCCGCGTTTCTCACATTGTCACATTAATTTCCTTTTACCATCTATCTCAAGCGTGCTATATGTCCTTTTTTTCCCCCTTGGCACTACAGCCCCAGTGCGCCTAGGCCTACCACTATGAACTCCGTTCACTTCGGTTTTTCTAGATCTTACACATTCGGTAGGACTCCTTGGGCGAGTGATCAGCTCGTCGCAGGCCTCTACCTGTACACAAACAGAGAAAAACGCACACAAACATCCATGCCCTGAGTGGGATTCGAACCCACGATCCCGGCTTCCTAGCAAGCGAAGACAGTGCATGCCTTAGACAGCTCAGCTACCGTGACCGGCGTGCTATCTGTCCTACACATTTCAATCACCTTTATTTTATCGACCTAACAGTATCAGGTGAAGAGCACAAAGTATGAAGCCCTTCACTGTGTACTTGTGCCAGTCTCTTGGAACATCCTTCCCCTTGGGCCCGAATGATTTTCTTTATGGAGACAGTCCTAGGTTCACACCCATGTAAAACAAAACAGTGAAACTGCACTTTTGAATATTTTCATCTGGAAGTTTTTGATGGAGGAAGGAAGCTAAAAGACTATGAACTGAATGATGCAGACGGTAGCGTACTTAGTTCGGTTCCCGGTCCCACTCCGAATGCCATCCTGATCTGTTACCGTCGGTCCGAAATACTTTTAATAATATGTATAATGTAAATTGTGCACACTGACAACTGACTAATTACTGCTGACTGTGACTGTGACAAACGACAGACCCGACCTCTCGTCAGAGAGGACGCCTCACATAGAAAGGGCAATAAATGTCAAACAGAAAATAATGTCGGGTCATGAGCCCCAAATGGGGCTCGACATCAAGATAAACTGACCGTGAGTCACAATTGACTTTGACTTCCGCTTGACGATCCAGTTCAGTTAAGTGAAATGACGTGAAGTAGCTCTTTGATGAGTGAGAGAGTTCAGTTGCAGTTCAGTTGCAGTTCAGTTGAAAGTCAGCTCATGAAGAGAAGACTATGAGGCTGGTGTGAAATGGCCGTCAGCTGAGACCCAGGTAGTTGAGTGGTCGGTTGACAATAGTTCGGTTCGGACGGTGGTGACAAGAGGAACTGAGCGCGGAAAGTTGAAGAATCTCCCTGATAGAAGCCGTTGTCAGGAAACGGCTAATGAAGATTGTAGTAGACAGAGGGCACTATACTGCATATATCAGTGATCTGTAAAATGTGGTTCCGAGTGGTGTATAAAAGTGGTCAATAAATCCAATTCATCCAATCCCTACTCCGTCTATAGTCACGCACCCCTAAATCATGACAATGTCGTCTGTGTATATTTTTAAACTTTTTCCAAAGTTAGGTTATTGATTTCCTTTCTCGAAGGAAGAAATTACAGAAAATGTATCTAGTATTTCTGTTTAGAGAGAACATATGCTGCATATGGAAAACTACAAATTTTATTACTGATTGACCTATCTCCTACATTTGTGTGAGAGAAATTCATTAATTTGTTATTCTTCCATTAATATGTCTGCAATATAGCTCAATGTATTACACAACCGTAGGAACAGGACTTGATTTAAATTAAGGTCCTTTCATTCTTCCACCGTATAGTAACAGTAAGTACTTTAAAGTGTCTTACTTACAATACCAAATGAATTATAGCTCTTTGCGGTACATACTGGCAGTATAGAAGAAAAATGTTTTAAAGCTGGGTTTGCAATACACTGGCGCTTTAATTTCTTATCAGGCCAGTCTCACGCGCCGCTGCCACAAGATTTATTGCGAATGTTACTACCTTACTGTGTTGTTAAATGTCAGATTCAGCAAAATAAAAGCAAAGCTTCGAAACCTCTACACCTAATTTAAATACTTTATAAAAATTAATGTTACTGTACTGCACCATCATTCTATTGCTAAAACGTCCGTAGAAAAAAGGATTTGCCACCTCCCACAATCCACAACTGGATTCTTGGCTTCAACGCTCGGAAGAAATGCACGTTTTTTTCAGGCTCCATTTAAATCCTCCAGACATAAAGAAGCTCACACTGTCAGACTGTCAAACGGATGTCTGCGTCAGAGAAGCAGCTTTATGTTCACAACTGTACGGCTAACGGGGACACATTACTTTAATTGCAGTGCAGTTTCTTTGTCGAACAGGTAACTAAAAATACAATTCCAATTTAATCAAATAGACTTTTTCATTAGGTATTGAACCGTTTCTTACTAATCGGTCTTGGTTGGTGTTCTGGTGTATTTAACGATGCTCTTTCAAATGTCTTGGCTGTAAGGCATCAAGTAAACTGATAATTAAATTTGATTAAAGGGAGATAATGTGGAATTAAAGGCTGTGGCTTTTTAAAATATAGAATTACAGCACCTTCCTATGGGGTCCGGATAGCGGTGGGCTATGGGATGCACGGCTCGGGTTCGATTCCCGTCAGTGCGAGATTTTTCTTTTCTTCATAGCGTCCAGATTGAATGTGAGGCCAACCAAGCCTGTTACACAATGGGTACCAGGAGCTCTCTCTCTGGGGGTAAAGCGGCCGGGGCGTGAAACTGACCACTTGCCTCCAGCTAGTGTGGCGCTATACCTCCATTCCCTCATATGCCTTCATGCTGTAGTCCTTAACTAACTCAGCATAGGGACAACTTTATATTTTTGCATATTTTTAACTTCACAATTTCCTAGGGGAAATCACTGAAGCCAAAGCCGGCCTACAGACCGAGAATTGTACCCGGGCCTCCCGCATATGGAGCGTGGCTGGTAAACACCGGACCGCAAAGTACATTTTAGTTTATTTTCGGTAACAAGAAATTAGCATGCAGAATGGCCCTCTTCCTGCCGTGAAGCAGTTCATAGCGACGAGAATGTGTCTTGTGTTGTTTTAACTTGACTACTCTTAAGCTGCTGCAATTAGATTACCTCTCGCCTTCATTTACATGCCATATTGCAATATGTCTGACTTAAGCATACGAAAGACAGTGAACGTCAGAGCGATGATACAAATAAAAATGAATATTTTTCTTTCATAAACTTACAGAATTCCAAACAACTTAACATTACTGACAAACTTCGCCACATTAAGACCAGTTAGTTAGCATAACCCTGAATAATTCATTCATTCGTCAATGGTTCTACAGCCCTTTGTTGGGCCCAGGCCTCTTCTTCAGGTTTGTAATCATATTTACACAGTCGGTAGGACTTCTTGGACGGGACTCAGCCCGCCGCAAGGCCACTACCTATATACAAGACAAACAAACACTGAGTAAACGCACACACAGCCATCCATGTCTTGAATAGGATTCGAACCCATGATCCCAGCGTTCGAAGACAGTTCATGCCTTACATCGGTCTGCCACTGTGACCGGCAACTTTGAATAATACCGGTCCTAAAGCTCCCGCTACCCTAACATTGTCATTTTAATATTCTCCTTACTGTCAATTTGTATGGGCCAGATTTCATTTCAAAGCATCGCGAAATGAAACATACATAACTCGTCGCGCAGAAGAGAGTCGTGTACAATTCTAATAGACCCTCAACGGGTCCACGAAATCGAAGCTTAGTATTATGTCCATAAAAACCTGCTAATGGAACTTATCTTGAACCAGATGAATCTAGTCCACAATTTCATATCCTGTTTCTTAAGTTCCGTTCCTCTAAAATATTAAAGCTGTCTAGTGTGATTGATAAATGCTGTGTCTTTTAATCTTTCGTCCTTCACCTAATCACACCTAATTGCAACATGTTTCGGGCTTAGAAGAAACACAGGCCAAGTAATGAGAATTACACAAGAAGGGGCCGCAACATGGACACCGCAAAATGAAAATCACTCGGAGCGAAGAGTGTTCATTCCCGAACAAACACATTTTCGTGCGAAGTAAGATATGCAATGGGATGTATTTACATACGAACTGGTGTAGTGAGACAGTGTCAATTAGTGGAAAATCGCCTGAAGATGGTCTTGTAAGGCCGAAACATGTTCCAGCTGAAGGTTATTTTAATGAAATTTTAAAACAAAGAAGAGGCTGTGAACGGTTTGTGTTGCATTAGACACGGAAATGAGTAGACGAGTCATCGGGTAGGTAGCACAAGTGACAAATTTTAGTCGCTTCTGCTGCTAAGACGGACAGTCATGGGGGTCAAAGTGTTAACATATGGAATACAAGTATCTATAGAATCGGTAATTATCGACGATCACCTTGGCTTAAGGTTTTATTGGAAGTTAGATGAGGCCACAAATCCACGCTACTCTGATACCACTTGGTCAAATGAGGTTGGTGACCCCTGACCTACACAGTACAACTTCCGTTTCGACCGACCTTCGAAATAAAATAGAGCTTGAGGTCTTAAAACACAACAATAACCTACATAACGAATTGTGTGCTGGCCTGCCACAATAGCACCTTTGAATGCATTTCTTTTATGAGATTGAGTTGAGTGTGGATTTACATCGGTAGGCGTCATGTGACGTCGTATTGGCGTAGCATCGCGACGGAGATGGCGCAAAGCTGTCCGTGGTACCGCGCTGTGCCAACACAGGGCAGCGGGGATGCAACTCCCGCCCCCCCACAATCCCTTCAGTCACTTAGGAGGCGCGCACAATACGAAAGCTCAGTGTGGGTTTTGTAACTGACGCAAAAAGGACGTCACCAGGTTAGGGGAACAGTTAGGAGAACAAGTGAAGCTGCAGAACACTCACACACCGAAAGCCGAACATCAGTAGAAACAGTTGTGAATGTAGTATTATGAGGTCAAGAGGCCAGCTGGTAATGTTGGGCCTTGTCAGGTGAGGCGCAAAGGGACGGCTGTTCACGAAGTGTGCACCATTTTCAATGTTATTACAAAGCACAGCACCAGCACGCAACTGTACATACCGCTTTCAGAAAGTTCTCTTGCCGACAGAAGATCTGCGACTGCCTGAACTTTTTTTTTTGCTTCTTGTAATTCTCCAAACGTCACACCAAGCACACATTAAACGTTATTCAGAAATAATGGTATTAAAAATATGTAATACAATGCAATATTACTAGTTGTAATTCGTTTTAAAATTGTGAAAACAGTAATTCCACTAAGCAAAATAGGACATATGAACCTGAAACAGGGGCCATTTTGTAATTTATACCTCAGCAAATTGTTTCTCACATATTTCACACGTAAAGGTATATCGAAATATTGTATATTCCACTATACACAAAGAAGTGATGAGCATTCAAAGGTGAAGACAAGGGTGTAAAGAATCGCCGCTTCGGTTTCTGACAGGCTTTTCAGCCATGTGCTCCTGTAGTCTTGTCGAGAGTTTCACGTGTCAGCTTTCTGTTTTGACAACCTTCAGAATCCTAAAAGCTATATTCAAACTCATACATACGAATACTACAGACATACGTGTATAGTATCTTTAAGTGTAAAGTTGCACTCCTATGTATGGCTCTCTAAATAGTTCAGAATTTGAAATTTATTCTATTCTGAGATGTTATAGCTTGTATTCTGGTAGATATATATTATAGTGCCTCCATGTCCAGAGTAGAACAGTTAGACAAATCTACCTGAGCAAAAGACGTCACATCCTGAAAACAATCAGAATATTCGCCGCGTGAGAAAACCAGATAGCGCATTTAAGCACTTAACTCCTCGGTTCAGAATAGGATGAAGCTGAACAGTTGCATGCCTAGTTACAATTTTAAGTGCTAAAGAATGTTAATTATGTTGTACGTAAGACGTTGTTTGGCGTCCATATAATTAGGACGCATGGTTTATAATGTACTGAAACATGTAACAATGATCTGCCTCACACAGATCGTGAAGATATGCAATTAATGCCCCATAGAAACGTTTCCTGAGAGCCGAGATAGCGACTGGCTACGGGCTGGACGAATAAGTCGGAATTCGAGTCCCGGTGGTCCAAGAAATTTCTCTTCTCTATGTCGTGCAGACCGGCTCTAAGGTCCACCCAGCGTCCTATCCAATAGGTACGACGGGGTCTTTCCTCGGAAATAAAGCGGCCGGGGTGTGAAGCTGATCATTCACCTCCAACTAATGCCGAGGTCAAGAAAACGTGGGTCTATATCTCCACTCCCCCATACGTCTTCATGGCGTAGTACTTAATTAGTTACTCACAGGGACAGCTTTCCCTTTTACATTTATATAAATGTTTCCTAATCCAACCGCTATATTCTCTCAGAAATATGACCTGAATTGAGATGTTCTCCTTAAAATGAACAATTTCACACATCGTACTAAAAGTTATACATGATGAACCATGTAAAAAAATCTTTACATATAAAATTTGTATTCGTTTTTTTTATGTTATGATGGCGATGCTCTGAGAATACCAAAAAGAAAGAGGAACAAATATCAAATACTAGTATGTTTCTCAAAATCAGGCCATTAAAAAGACATTATAAAAATCTAACACTTATTACAGTACATTATAAATGTATTCATTTGAATATATAATACTAATTCATGGCAACAGAAAAATAATTAGTTGAAAAGTAAGATATATTGGTACCCTGTCACTAGCGAGTGAATACAGCTGCTTTGCGCCTGATTGCTGTTAGCTTGGAGAAAATGTTTCGGTCTGTGCAGTCTGTCTCGACTTTAACAATTCTTCATTCCTCCAGAGAATGAAACTAACTGATACTTCCATGTAAGCATGGCAGAAGAAATAATTCGTCTTCATGGTACATGATTATATTCTGTGACCAACTATGGCAAGTTCTGTCCTGAAGATGTACCGTCGAATAAGGGAAACGAACTCTGGTCATTCCCCCTTCCGTCATGGCGTGGAAGCTCTGTATGCCAATTACAGTACCTACATAGAACAAGCCAGCAGAAACAATGCAAAATACAAGGCAACTCGAGGACTTAAACAAACAATTGCTGCTTCATTTAAGGATACGGTCAATATTCCTGATTACAAAATGCCTAATAACGTGACAATTTGTTAATAATGATTTGGGATAAATTAAAAACCGGTTTTAACCCAATCTGAAGTAATATCCAGGCATTTTCTTTAAGGGACTGAGGAAAACACAGTGAAACTTAGCAAAAGAGTTTTCGATCCGAGATGTGAAACTGGGACCTCCTGAAAATAAACTCGAAGTCACACCTGTTCCACCGTATTCACAGACCTATATGACATATTGCTTACTGATGTACGTATCGGTAGATTAGACTTTACAGGCTCAGGCTGGTTAATGCCAAGGCAGCAATTGCAATATTGCACGCTAAGCTATAATTCTTTCAGGGAATGAGAGACTAATGTGTTCCAAATCTTCGCGCGTTTTCTGTATCTCATTTACCGTATTTACGCATGTATCGGCGGCACATTTTTTGCCAAAAATTCAAGAGGAAAACTGGGGTGCGGCTTATATTCGAAATATTCGAAATCACACTTCGTTTAAAAAAAATATATATATATATATTCATAATTAGTAATACAGGGTGTAATACTCCTGAAATAATATTCCAAGAAAATTATTTTTTCTATAATTTCTGTCTGAAAATTGTGCTGCGGCCTATACATGCGTAAATACGGTATATACACCTGGTAAAAATCCCTAGGTGGGCGATCAGCCTGTCGCAAAGCCTCTACCTGTATAGGAGAATACTCGTACAAACACAGAAACATGGCTGACCTACGTAGGTCCATGTCCCGAGTGGCTTTCATATCCACGATTTCAGTGTTCAGATTGTGAAAGATATTGTGTTCCTTAGAAGGAGAAACAAATTCTAAAAGATAAGAAATGAACACAGATGCTATGTGAGATCTAAAGGCATTCCGGCGGTGAATATAAACATTATCGTATCGTAGGACATGACATCATATAGTCTGGTAAATAGGTACAAACATTTCCACCTATCTGCCAAAGTACATGGCACCTCAACCCAGAAAAACGTAATCTTAAAACAAAAATACCTCCATCTCGATATAGCAATCATTTTCAGCTCTAAAGTAACCTACTACGAGTCAAAATAGTGCGCTTTCCATAAATTTCTTTCTGATTACACGCTGGGCCTAATGGATATCAAAATGAAGTAGTGGGCATAAGAATGGTTATGGGTAAATTCTTGTTTAGAACAATGGGAGAAGAATGGTAAAGGCCTATCCAAAAGCATTGTTATTTGATTCCATTGGAGCTGAGGAAAACTACGAAAAGGAAACATCAGTTGGGATATCTGACATTAGTCCGATTTGGGAAAATTCTGAATACCGAAAAATATTTCCCGATATAAAATATTTAGTAGAATGTATATCACAAGAACAATTAATCAATTAAGACATCTATCTATCTATCTATTAATCTTTCTTTCTTTCTGTCTGCCTGCATGACTGTCTATCTATCTATCTATCTATCTATCTATCTATCTATCTATCTATCTGTCGCTCTACAGCCCTTCTGGACCTCGGCCGCTTTTTCAGTGTCTTAATCCATACCGGTAGGACTCCTTGGAAGAGGATCAGCCTGTCGCAAGTCCGCTACCTACACACAGGACAACACAAACACAGAATAAACGCACGCTGACATCCATGCCTCTTGTGGAATTCGAACCCACGACTCAATTGTTCGAGCTGACGAAGACGGTTCATACTTTTGACCGCACGGCCACTCTGATCGACAAGACATATACACCGAGTAGAGTAATCAGTAATTTTCTCTGGGTTTTATATTGCGCAATTAACACCATAATGGCTGCATAAATTGTGTAAAAAATGTTTCACATTGTGAATGTCACGTGTATTTTCCGAAGCACTTTCACATGAGACACAATAATTCTTACAGGCTTAAGGATAGACGTCATAGTTTATGGAACGTGTTTGTGGGCTACAAGACTATTGACAGTCATCGTAACGGAGAGTAAATACATCAATAAAACGTGGAAAGCAACATACAAATTAAATCAACATTTGCCTAGCCAAAATCTGTAAGATTCAAGTATATAAATTTTTAATTTGAATTGTTGCTTTTCGTGGTTGTAAGAATTGGCATCACCCTAAGATTTAAGGGAGAAGAAATAAGAGAAGTGTGGGGAAAATATATTCGCTAAGGAGATTAATAACGCGTTTACTTAATCAGTATGAATTAATAGGAGGACCAAATTAGAGAGGATGAGATGGGCGGGAAATGCAGGAAGAATGAAAACAATGCGAAATGAGTTAAAACATTTAACCGAAAAACTTGAAAGGATGATACGGTATAAGAGATCTATATGTAGACGGGAGAAATATAAGAAGATTGATCTTAAAGCAATAGGAAACAAGGTTATGTATTTGATTAAACTGGTTAAGAATGATGTCCAGTAGAGGCTCTTCTGAATATAGTAATAAATATATGGGTTGTATAACATATGGAAAATTTGATGATCGGCAAGCAACTTTCAGATTCTCAAAAAGGACATGCTACAAGAAATTAATTAATTACTCGAAGTTCACTAGAAGTAAGGAAAGTGAAATTAGCATAATTATAAACTTAAACTATTTTAAACCCATTGGTATTGTTAACACTGCTGATAAATATTTAAGCCATAACATAATGGATATTTAGTTCTTACATATTTTTCGCTTGTTTCAAAAATGCTGAAACTGAAAATGGCAGGCTCCTCCAAAATTTCGGTGTCTATCTACCAGGATGCACTGCGTCACATCACAGAAAACGCCATTTTGATAATCATTTTGTCCGCGTTGTGTAACGTGTGTCAAGAGTAGGAACAGAAGTAGTCATTTATATAGGTCCGAGGACAAGTTCAAAGACATCCTGCGCCCCTTTCTTCAGTTTATAAAACCAA